CACACACACACACACACACACACACACACACACACACACACACACGCACATAATAAATATATACTTAATGTCAACCAGACCAGAACCAACCTCTAAGCTGGGAATGGCTGTAGCCAAAAAGAGCAGGCCAGAGACAGGTGTGTGAGGGATTAAACAGAAGTTTAATTAATTTCAGAGTGAGGAAAACACTTGCAAGTGGAAGTCCCCCATCCTGAGAAGGAGTGCTTAACATGCTAGGGTGAAGGCAAGGCTTATATACCTATATAAATACCACAACACAGTCATTCTTAGGTCTTGAGTAGCAGTTTTTACAGTAGGCTCTTGCATGGACAATGCAGGTGTTCCTGGTTCCTGTGGGAACAGTTGTTAAGTTGATTGACTTAAGTCTTATGGGTTGTTGAGTCTTGTGATTATTCAGTGGGGGTACAGAACCAAAGTTAGTGTGGTGGGAACACAAGTGCAGTACCGGGTTCAGTTCACTTGGCTGTTATAAGAAACAAGGATTTTAAGCACGTTAAGAGGTGTGATGGATGGCCTTAGGCTGCAGCACATTTGCTCTCAGGTCCCTAGGAAATAGGGGGAGCTCCAACAAACAGTTATTGATTAATATGAAAAGCATAAATTTCTCAGTGAACACTTGGTGCTGGTCAAAGCAATACGCTTTGCCACAGGGCTAGATCATCCAGAGCACAAAGGATTGTTTTTATGTCAAGCTTAGGGCACAGCCTGCTTGTTGGGCCTTAGCTCTGGGAAACAGGGTGTCTGCAAATACCTTCACAATAAAAATAAAATTTACTGAGAAGGGTACTCAATCAAAAAAGCTTTGGAGACCTCTGAGATAGAGGAGTAGAAAAGTAGAAGGGAGATAGAAGAGTGGAAAAATTGAAAGGAAAATTCTTTGTTTAGGCTTTCACCCTGATTAACTAGGCAAAATTCAAGATAAAGAGAATTAAAAGGAGTTTATTATAAGTATATCAAGATAGCAACATATTATTTGTTGTTGGGCTGATCACTGAAGATCATTGATGGTTTCTAGGTGGGGTCAGCTTTTATTGATAACTTTCCTAATGAAATAAAAACAATTCAGATAGATTAATGTTAGCAAAATAGATTGGGCCCTTGCATCTCAGTTCCTTCCTAAGGTAGCAAGTATAGACAATTTGCAGGTGGGAGTACAAACAGCACAAGTAGGAGTATGTGACAAAGAGCAAGTAATGCAAGAAGCTACAGACTTGGTATCCCCTTTCCCAACAACAGCCTTCCCCAAAACTGATTGACAAGCAGGGGTCATTGAATCAACGTAACTTTCATATGTGTGTGTGTTTAAATATATAAATATATATGTATATATATAATCCCCCTATAAACAATTTTAACTTTTTTTTAAAGTTTTGATTTCCAAATTCAATCCACCTTCCCTTCCCCCCTTCCCTATCCTTACTCCTCTCTGAGACCATCAGCAATTAGATTTAGGTTATACACATGCAATCAATCAAAGTAACTTTCAATACAAGAAAGAAAGGAAGAAGAGATAGAACGGTACAAGAAGAGATTTCAGCCAACATGGCATAATGCAAAGTGTGTTGGACCCTGCAGTAGTAGAGACCTGACTTGTAAAACCCAGATGTGACCTTTATATGCTGCATGACTAAGAGCAAACTTTTTTTTTAATCTGTAAAAGAGGGATACCTCATAATAAGTACCTTACTGGGTGGTTGTAAGGAACAAACGAAATCATGTGTGTAAAAGTGCCTGATAAAACTTAAAACTTACATAAATGTCAGCTAATGTTATGTAAGGGTGGAAGGAAAGAGGAATAGAGGAGAGTTAGAAGTGTGAAAACAGATTGAAAGTCGTAAGAGTAGTGATATTGCCCGATGGCGGTCATGTTTGGGAAGTATATTTAATTAGAGTGCTGGGGCAGGTGCAGAAATGCACCTGCATATGGTAGCTGGAGGGTTTTGAAATCATAGGGTTTGTTGGTTACAGAAGAATGAATGTCAGACTGGATTGTTTTTCTTAGAGTAAAAGAGCGGGCTGCAGGAATTGTCAAGCTTTTTCTTGTACCGAGTCATGGAGTGAGGGGGCAGCAGCATCCTTGTCTCGCTCCCTTGCAGCCCTTTCTTAGATTGTGGACATCTGTACAAAACCTGCGGACACCCCTCCCGCCTACCATGTAGGGCCAGGGTCTCCCCTTCCTCCTCGTCCCGCTTTCTTATCCCTTTCTTTCCCTTCTCCTCCTCCCCCTTCGTCCCTCTTAGTCTCGTCCCCTGCTCTCCCCACCCCCACTCCCGCCGCCGCCGCCGCCCCAGGCTTCTTGTCTCCTCCCACCTGGCTCTGCCAGTAGCCCAAGAGCGGCCGCCTGGGGGCTCTTCGGGGAAACCAGAGTCTCCCTTTAGCCCCCTTCCTCACTCCCTCCCTCCCTCCCTCCCTGCCTTTCTCCCATTTGTTTCCTTCCGGAAGAGAGGTGGAAGGGAGGGGGCCTGGACTGCATCATTGTGCTCTGCTGCTGCAGGGCCAGAGGAGCAGGTGGAGACGAAAGAGGGAACGCTCGCGGCGGGGTGCTGAGACCGCAGTGACGCTGCCCTAGAGAGATGGCGGCCCAGAGCCTCTGAATCAACAGAATCCCAGCCCAGCGCCCGCCGCTGCCGCCCCAGCGCAGCACCATGGTGCGCCGCCGCTGACCCGCGAAGGAGGGACCAGTCCCGGCAACAAATGAATGCTGCAGCAGCTGCAGCCTCTTCGCGAATTTTTTTTCTTTTCATTCACCACATTAAATTTTCCTTCAAATATTCAGCCGCCGTAGTTGCTGCTGTCACAAAAGCTTCTAGGGACACATTTATCCTTTAACTGCCACCCCCCCCTTTATTTTCCTTCCCTCCTCACTCTAATTCCTCTCCCCAGCCCCACCCCACCCCCTGCATCTTTTCTTTCCTCCTGCCTCCACTCACCCCCTCCCGTTTCCATCCATCACCAGAGCTATGGCTGCAGAGGAGGTATTTCAGAGCGTGGATCATTATAAGACTGAGATCGAAAGGTTGACCAAGGAGCTCACTGAAACAACCCATGAAAAGATCCAGGCTGCTGAATATGGCCTGGTGGTCCTGGAAGAGAAGCTCACCTTGAAGCAGCAGTATGATGAGCTGGAGGCTGAATATGATGGCCTTAAGCAAGAGCTAGAGCAACTGAAAGAGGTGAGTTTCTAGTTGCCTTTCTCCTCCTTTCACCCCCCCCCCAAACTTATCATTAAAAAGAAATAAAGAAGGGGGTACACAGAATGCATCGGTGAAAAGAGCCTTGGCTTTGAAGTCAGAGGACCTGGATTCAAGTTCTCCCTCTGACTTATCTGCTTATCTACCTGTGTGACCTTGGGCAAGGCACTTAACTTTCTGGGCCTCAGTTTCTTCCTCCGCAAAATGAGGGAATTGGCCTAGATGACCTTTGAAGTTTATGTGGTACTTGATCTATGATCCTATGAGCTGACTCTTTCTTTATCTTAATGTGAGCACAGTTGGCCAGGTGCTATTGAAAGAGTTCATTGTTTCCATGTAAGGAAAAATGCCTAAAGAAATAAGTATATATCTGTATATTGGAAGCATGGAGGTAGGATTTGTGGGGGGAGGAGAAATTTGTATTTGTATTCGAGTAGAGGTATATGAGAAGATTAAGGATGATTTGGGGGTGATTAAATAAAAATTTAAAAAGCTAATGTTTCTAGCCTGGATTGCAGTAAGAATCCTTTAGGTAATTAATAGATCTGAGGCTGGGGAAGTCACAACTTTAATTATTAAATTAAAAATACCTTAGTCATATATTTGAATTTCCTGTTCTTTAGTCATAAGGAGAAAACACAGTATTAGTACCTCACAAAGGCTTAGCATCTCTTTTGCTTCTTTATTCCTGTTATGCTGTACAAAAGGAAAACAGGGTGATGGGTGATGATGTAGATGCCCTGTTTTCACCAATGAATGAGGTAGCACTCTTCAGGGTGGGCAAAGCTTCAAGGTAGAGATGAGGTCATCCTGCCCAGTAAAAATTAAACTTCATAACAAATGACCTGAAGAAAAGATGAATCTTGAACTGGGATGTAACTGTGAAGTGTGGCCTTACATTTTAAATACGGTTATCAGTTAGAAATAAGGAATTGGTAGGAATAGAGATTGGACCTATGATTTCATTGACATATGGAATTCCCAGATGAGGAAACTCCCTCTATCAGTGGAGGAAGGCTTCTTCTCTGTAACTTATCTTCTTAGAGTGTTGCCTAGAGTACTGAAATGTTAAGAGACTTTCCAGGGTAACTTAACTTGCCCACTTGCCACACAACCACTGCTCTAGAGAGTAGGTGGTATTTGATTCTCTCACACTGCCCCCCATCAACTCCTTCCTTTGCCACTCTAAGTACATTGCCTTTCCTAAGGTACCTATAAGACCATAACATTACAGCTGAAGTATGTATAACTCTTGTTCTATCTAATATTTGCATGCTTTTAGGTTTTGTTTGCTTTTAGTCTGGATTTAGGGTTTCTTTGCTTATGCACAACTTTTCTGCATTTTACAGGATTAGAGAGTTGCCTGGGGTCAGTCAGTGACTTGCCCAGCTTTAAGCAGTCTGTATGTCTGAAGAGAAACTTGAACCCAGGCCCAACTCTAGCCATCATGTCTATTTTGTATATTATTCTGTAATTATTCAATAAAATGTGGCATGCTGGAGGACACCAATAAAATATTAGTCAATTTTTGATCAAGTCTTTTAAGCAATCTTATGGTAAAATTTTTGTAGTTTAGGTAAACCTTAGTCCATGCTAAAAAAAAAAAAAGTTCCTGGGACTCTGGATACTTTCTTGCTACATACTTATTTTAACACAGACATTTTCTATTAGACAGATGTTAATTCTTACATGTAATATACATATATATACACACATACACATATATGTACATTATTTATTATGTGCCAGCCACTATACAAATATTATTTTATCCATAGCCCTGGGAGGTAGTTGCTATTATTATCCCCATTTCATGCTTGAGGAAAATGAGGCAAACAGAGATTGAGTGTCTGAGGCTAGATTTGAACTCAAGTCTTACACCAGACCCAGCACTCTATCCACTGTACCACATAGTTATCATTTGGTAAATGTTTGTTGAATTGAATTGTATTAGGAAACAAATTTTTAAAAGAATAAAGGCAGAACTATGAGAAACTAAGCAAATCAGTTCTCTCATTTTTTAACACTGACAGAAATGCAAAAAAAGGATCAGTTTAAGAGTCATTGTAAAGACAAGTTAAACTTTATCATTAAAAAAAATGAATGGCTATTGTGGAAACATACTAACTCTCCTTCTTATATTCACTGATATTATGGAAAGCCTAAAAGTTCTTGATGTTCAGTGCTAAGCAGACAATATTCTGGTCTAAAATCTTTTATAAATCCTTATCAGACTCTCCCCTTTTTCCAACTCTTCTGTTACTGTTGAAGGTGGAACCATTCTCTGAATTATCCAGGCTTTCAGCTTTTGTGTCATCTTTGACTCTTCACTCACATTTACCCCACATATTCAAGTCTTATCAGATCTACTTTCACAACTTTTATTGTTTCTACCCAGGTGCAGGTCCTCATCACCTCACTGCATCGTCTTTCTTTATTCTGATCCACTCTACTGGGAGGGGCCTGATCAGCTCTCCAAAAAATCTATGAAATGGATTAGAGTAATAATCAGTTTAAGATCAAGAATATCTTTTGATTCATTCAATTAATAGAAATGTCTTTTGAGTTCACCTTTGGCCAAATTAAAAGAAAAATCCTTAGAGGGACTGGTTAAAGAGGACATTGAATAATTTTTGGAAAATGATTCTCCAGGGTGTGCCAAAAGTTAAATTACTATTTCTCTGTTTGATGACTCAGAAACTGTTGCCTAAACTTTGTTCTCTTGTTTAATCTTGATTATGGAATTTTGTCTTTCTTCATGAGCCCTATAAACTGTGAGCAGAAAATGACTTAGATCAGATGGGTTTTCAAAAGGAGGATGGATCTCTCTTCCTTTGAATTCCTCTCTAATCAGAGATGTTTTGAATAGAATTAATAAATTTATTTCTGATAGACTTCTGCCTAAAAAGGCAGAGTACTGAGTTTTCCTTCTCTACTATCCAGAGAAGCAAGCTGGTGGAGAGAATTGGGTTCTGGACTTATAATCAAGAAGACCTGGGTTCATATCCCGCAACTAATGCTTATTAGTGAGAGTCAGACAATTCTCTAAGACATATTTACTAAATAATAGAATGTTTTTGATCAGCATTGGTTGATGGAGTTACCACAATCAAAAAATCACAAATTTTTGATGTATTTAATGTATGTATTGGCTCTACTAATTGCCTATTTAAATAAGCTACATAATTTTCAGCTTGTGTTCTTGAGAGAAAGGTATATACATATGTGTGTGTGTGTGTGTGTGTATATACATGTATAGGGAGAAAGAAAGAGAAAGTGAGAGGGAAGAAGGGAGAGACAGACTGGCATTTATTATCAACTGTGTGCTAGACACTGTACTAAGTACTTTACAATTATTATCTCATTTGCTCTTATGACCATAAATTGACAGCAATCATGATGCAAACAACTATACTAGTTCAGTATTAGTTTATTTCTATGATTTCCTTCATGTCATCTTTCCTGAAAAAGATACCATTTGGACAAAATTTGTTACTTAGGAAATCTTTATAGTTTTGCAAATAGATCTACTATTGATCACAATTTTATTTCAAAGAAGATATGGCTTTCAGCAAGTGATGTCATTTTATCACAGCTCTTAGGTTTAAAAGCACCTTGATTGATTCCTTAGTTCTTTCCAAATACTGTTCTAGTCTAAAGATTGAATCAGTTGTGAGGAACATACAAAAGAAAATATTTATTCTACCTTGTTTGAGGTAGTTTAATCTTGGCAGGTAATTTTATTTTTGATGTCAGCACACAAATATTTTCACCATTCTTACTCCCTTGTGTGGTAGCCTGTGTCTGACTCAGCCCAGTTCTTTGATACTTTAGTTCTGATATTGTAATAATACAAAACACTCAACTCATTTATCAACCCTGTAAATTGTAAATAGAAAATGTAGTAGGTCAGAGAAATTTTCAAAAGCAAGATAGATCTCCTTCCCCTTGGATTTATCTCTCTTTAAGAAGAGATGTTTCAAATAGAATTAATAAATTTCTTTCCGAAAGCCTTGTTTCCAAATCCTGTTGATTCTACCTTTTTCAGCATCTCTCATCTGACACTGCTACTGCCTTGGTAAAGGCCCTCATCACCTCATATTTGCGTCATACTATCTGTAATACCATCATATTACAGTAGCCTTCTAGCTGGTCTCCTTGTCTCAAGTCTCTCCTTGCTCTAGTTCATCTTCCATTCTGCTATCAAAACAATCTTCCCAAAGCAGGTCTGACCAATGTCAGCTTCTACTTCATAAACTCTTTTGCCTTTCTGTTAGTTGAAATATCAAAAATCCTATGTTTGACTTTTAAACTCTTTCATAATCTGGACCCTTTCTACCTTTCCAGCCTCCACTTCCCCTTATTCCCCTTCATGTGTACTCTTGCTGTTTCTGGCATTAGATGCTCCATCTCCCCACTCCTTCCTACTTTTCCAGTCTTCTTACACTTTACTCCCCTCCACATACCATATGATCAGTGACATTAGAGTCTTTGATGTTCTTGACAAAAGATGCTCTATACCTTGACTGAATTTTTACTGCTATTGCCCATGTTCAGAACTTTCTCTCTACTCACCTGTCTCCTGGCTTCCATGACTTCCTTCAAGTCTCAGCTTTTAGATTTTAGGCTATCTTCTTCAAGAAGCCCTTTCTGGTTCCCTTTAATATAATCACTTCCCTCTGTGATTATTTCCAGTTTATCGTATCTATCTAGTTTGTATGTAGTTGTTTGTATATTGTCTCTCCCATTAGCTTGTGTGCTCTCTGAGGGCAGGGATTGTTTTTGCTTTTCTTTATGATCCCAACACTTAGCAAAGTGCTTGGCACATAGTAGGCGCTTAATAAAAGCTTGTCAACATTGCTTGCTTGGCCCAGGAATGCTCCTTCTAGGCCCAGTGCTTCCCTCCTGCATAAGCAAATGCATTTCATCAACAGGGCTGGGAATGGTGACTTGTTGAGGGGCCTTGGGACATCTACCAAGGA